GCTATTGTTATTGTTCAGGCCTGGCTCCCAGCACCCAATCAGAGGGTTGGCCCACCATGGCCCCCCATCGTCAGTGTGAAAGCTTCTTGGGACAGTTGACAGAATTGTCTTTGCCCCGATCAGTCCAGTAATAAATGTGTCATGAAAGTTTATCATTTGAATGTGTTTTTAAGCCTTTTACACATGAACGAACACTCAAACACTCGAATGCACGGACACAAAATTAAGTTCTCTTTCACGTTTTCTTGCGTTTGAACAGACAGATACACACAAAGTTAAGTCAAAATACCCATCTTGGTGAGTATCCTCAAAAACAGTTAGTTATGTCTTAAGTGAACGTAAACAGTTGAGAAAGCAATCTGATGTGTATCATTATACTGGATCCATGTATTGTCTCTTAAAGTGCCCATGCCTAATTTACCACCTGCTGTTGGTATCCTAGATGTTAATCCAAGAAAAAAAAAAAATAGAGAGAGAGAAAAATCACTCACTGCTCTTGACTGAATAAACTTTTAATATATATTTAATTTATACACTGACAACTATGCGGTGTAATTTTACATTAAATTATTCAATTTCTGTACCTGAACACCTACAAACCTAAAAAACTTAAAACAGTGTTTAATTTGTATCTTTGTTCTACACTGAACAAAAATATATATCGTGCATGCTGCATATTACTGATATTAACTACACTGTACAAAATTATAAACGCAACACTTTTTTTTGCCCCCATTTTTCATGAGCTGAACTCAAAGATCTAAGACTTTTTCTATGTACACAAAGGCCTATTTCTCTCAAATATTGTTCACAATTCTGTCTAAATCTGTGTTAGTGAGCACTTCTCCTTTGCCGAGATAATCCATCTACCTCACAGGTGTGGCATATCAAGATGCTGATTAGACAGCATGATTATTGCACAGGTGTGCCTTAGGCTGGCCACAATAAAAGGCCACTCTAAAATGTGCAGTTTTATCACACAGCGCAATGCCACAGATGTCGCAAGTTTTGAGGGAGCGTGCAATTGGCATGCTGACTGCAGGAATGTCCACCAGAGCTGTTGCCCGTGAATTGAATGTTAATTTCTCTACCATAAGCCGTCTCCAAAGGCGTTTCAGAGAATTTGGCAGTACATCCAACCGGCCTCACAATCGCAGACCACGTGCAACCACACCAGCCCAGGACCTCCATATCCAGTATCTTCACCTCCAAGATCGTCTGAGACCAGCCACCCGGACAGCTGCTGCAACAATCGGTTTGCATAACCAAAGAATTTCTGCACAAACTGTCAGAAACCGTCTCAGGGAAGCTCATCTGCATGCTCGTCGTCCTCATCGGGGTCTCGACCTGACTGCTGATTAGACAGCATGATTATTGCACAGGTGTGCCTTAGGCTGGCCACAATAAAAGGCTACTCTAAAATGTGCAGTTTTATCACACAGCACAAGAGATGTGTTGCACTGCGTGAGGCAAATGGTGGTCACACCAGATACTGACTGGTTTTCGGACCCCCCCCGGACCCCCCAATACAGTAAAACTGCACATTTTAGAGTGGTCTTTTATTGTGGCCAGCCTAAGGCACACCTGCAATAATCATGCTGTCTAATGAGAGGTGGATGGATTATCTCGGCAAAGGAGAAGCGCTCACTAACACAGATTTAGACAGATTTGTGAACAATATTTGAGAGAAATAGGCCTTTTGTGTACATAGAAAAAGTCTTAGATCTTTGAGTTCAGCTCATGAAAAATAGGGGCAAAAACAAAAGTGTTGAGTTTATATTTTTGTTCAGTATATTTTTTTTTTTTGTGCTGATGCTTGTAATTTGTTTATTAGTACTTATTTTATTGACTCTTCACATGTCTAATAATAATCAAACTTTATATTTTTTTTAGGCTTTTAGTTTTGGCTGTTTTATTGAAATTGGAATCAAGAATTGTAAAATTTAACTTGCATCTTAAATGTTAGTGTCATACAAGCTTATTTATTCGAATACTACTTAACATAACAGTATTATTTTCAAAACAATGTAAATATTATAGTGATATAAATAGTTCTTTTATAGGACCTGGGCATTTTTTAAATCAAATCTAAAGTTCCCAAATTAATACAAGATATATATATATATATAGATCTTGTATTAAAGAACAGAACAGAATAGACCCCCTCCCCCCGCCACACACACACCCAACTGGAATATCACTTGGCCCACCCTTCATCTAATATCTGGAGCCAGGCCTGTTTTTGTTGTAAGCTCTTTTCTACAAAATAATAAAGGAAGGTTTGACTGACTAGTCAAATATCAATGCCATCCTGAAACACCATGAGGGTAGTCCTGAACACACAAACAATATGCTTAAGTGGAGAGAACTTGATCTGCACTTAAGTCGGGGACAGACTCTTGGCCAGATACAAATGACAATTTTGGAGGCTGAAAGAAAGCGATGGCGGGATGTCCTTACACGTTTAAAGGACATGTAAGGAAAGACACCTAGTATTCAGGGGTTCATCAGACAAACTATTTCAACCAAACAATGGAAACTTCTTAAAAGAGGTTGAATTACTGGCAAAATTTGACCCCCTTATGGAAACTCATCTCAGCAATATTAAAGATGGAGAGACACATGCTCATTATCTTGGGCAGCACACTCAGAATGAACTGATACAGATTGTGAGTGACAAGATTCTGGAAGAAATGGTGACTCAAGTAAGAGACTCAAAGTACTTCTACATTACCTTGGACTGTACACCTGACCAGGGGTGTAGCCAATGTTCCCTCTACTATTTTTTTCTTGCTGAGCAAAACATTTCTCTATTGGGCGGACATTTTGAGCAAAAACATTCTTTATACCAGACCTGTACAGTGTGTACAAACACACACACACACAAGTGTGTAACATTTAACTTTAATGTGGTATTTACATTTGACTTGACGTATCTAAATAATGCACATTTTAGGCTACCTGAGAAAACTTTTTTTACAGTTCTGTGTTACAAAGAAATTCTATAAAAAAAAAACTTTCTTTCTTTTTAATTTTAATCAGAACAGTTTAATTCTTTGTAATAATATAATATAATAGGCTAATATGAAAAAATTAAGCAGATATTGCTCATGAATTCCATTTGAGGTCAATTAATTATTTGGTTTATAATATAAAAACCAACTGAAGCATTTAAACCGAGATCTGTAAGCTAAATATTTTCAAAAAATGTGAACATGTGAATTCTGATAGTTATCTAAGAGTTTAGAGTAGTAGAGTTTTCACACTACAACACCTGTTTAACTGTAAATGTGTCACGGGTTGCCAGGCGAAGGAGCTCGGAGTACGACGGAGGCAGGTAGTCAAACGAACAGAGTCTTTAATAAATTAATGTGGGTGAAACAGGAGAAAGCAACCTCTTAACACGACAGAGACAGGACAAACAAACTGAGTAAAGGCAGGGCTATTTATACAAAATCAAACGATGGACTAATACGATAATTAATGAACACAGGTGGAAACTAATGAACAAATCAAGCAACAAAGGAATATAGGACAAGGCAGGGAGAACAGAAACACAGAACATACATGTGACAAAATGTCAAGGTTTTTTGTTTTTTTACCGTTCTGTGATCATCCGCTATTTCCAGCACTTAATCAAGCCACTCTTCTTTAAGACATGATGTTTTATTTCACATGTCATTGCGTCTTGTTTTTTTACCGTTCTGTGATCATCCGCTATTTCCAGCACTTAATCAAGCCACTCTTCTTTAAGACATGATGATGTTTTATTTCACATGTCATTGCGTTTGCGTTGACTCTCGTGTTAAGCTATTAAAGTATTTGATTTCTACAGAGACTCATTTGGCGCACATCATTCTCTTTCTATGAAACCTGTTAAAGGGTTAGTTCACCCCAAAATGAAAATTCTGTCATTAATTACTCACCCTCATGTCGTTTCAAACCCGTAAGACCTCCGTTCATCTTCAGAACACAAATGAAGATATTTTTGATGGAATCTGAGAGCTGTCTGACCCTGCATAGACAGCAATACAACTGAAATGTTCCCAAGTCCATGACGTAGCAAGGAGATCTGTAAAATAATCCATGTGACATCAGGGGTTCAACCTTAATTTTACGAAGCTACGAGAATAGTTCTTGTGCGCAAAAGAAAAAAAAAAGATTTTTTTCAACAATTCCTCTCATCCGCTCATTCCTCTCACCCTGTAGCGCCATTTTGGAGACTATCAGCTGGACGTAAACAACGTATGCTGTTCTGTGTCAGCTGCTAATTAAATTAATTTAATCATACCCTGCGATACATGAACAGTGTTGATCCGAGATGTTGTTATCTGTGATTGTGATGAACGTAACATGAGGCTTCTCCCGCTTGCATTGTGATCTGTAAACCCTTGCTTCCAAATTAATACCCACAATATTTATTTTAAAATCTTTTATATATCCCTCCATGGCATATTTAAGTCCCACTTGAATGGTGGTCCTTCTGTGTCCAAAATTGATCAAAAAGATATAGGGACAAGGTTTTCACACTGACAGCTGTCATTGTAAGACAGTTAGCAACTCTGTTTGTTTGTCCGAGTTCGAAACAGTAACTAAGGGGGGCGGGGCTTTCCGATAGATCAATTCAATCAAATGGCTTTCCAACTCGGTTTTTTTAAGTGTCCTTTGCACTGCATATTGGCTGCATCCGAAAACCTGCCTCGCTGCATCGCTGCCTTATCAGGCAATGACTTTGCAGGCAGCGTTTTTACAAGAAGGCACCTCATGAAACTGATTTCGGACAAGCTTCTGAGGCAGCGTAGTGGTTTAATGATCTACAACAAAATAGAACGAGTTTTGGTGATAACTAAATGGATATTTAATTACTATAATACTGATTTCTCACTAGAACTAACATCAAACGTGCAAAAAGTTAGTCAGAAATATACATTTACACACAAACTGACCACCAAACGCAACTTTCAGACGCCATCTTTATTTTTTAGCTCAACCGTCATGGAATGGAACGCAGAGGATTGTGGGGTATCAAAGACAGCAAAGGACACATCTATGCTACCTTCAAAAATCGATCAGATGAAGGTATCTCAGGAGACAGGAAGTGAAGCTAACTTTGGATTTGGACGTGCATTGATGCCTTCCTACCTTGGAATGCGTCCTCTGAAGGCAGTATTTTTCAGTTTCCGACGCAGCCTTCTGTTTCTTTTATTTCTTCACGCTCACAGCTTAAAAGGAGAACATTGGTTAAGACTGTTATCAAGTTTATGTTGGACTATTGCATTCTGAAGCATCATTCACATGCTTCACTGTTTTGTTTCTACTAATAAAGTCTGTTTGAGTTAATGACATTTTACCTGTGTGGATCTTCCTGTTTGCTGACATCTGTTTAACCACTGCCAGTCTAGTATAATGAAATATAACTGTATGTAACAATAGTTATATAACCTTGAAAACACCATCTAATGATATTGTGACGAGCAGGGCGGGGCCGAGAGCCGTGGGAACAGAGTGAGGCCGGTGGAGTAATTGATAATGAGCGACACCTGCACCACTCACCGGTCTCGAGTCCCACGGAGGAGCTCCGGAAGGATAAAAGGAGGAGCTACGACAGTGAAAGACGAGAGAGGACCAGGCCTGGACGTTATTTTGTGTTTTGTGTGCGGCAGTCGTCCGCGAGGGGCTGCCGCTTTACTTTCATTTTGTGTTTATTTATTTTATTAAAGTCTTTAAATGTTCGCCGGTTCCCGCCTCCTTCTTCCCGTGACTACGAACTGTGTTACAGATATTTTTTGTTTTTATATTTTATTTGTTTGTTTGTATGTCACACTTAGAAATCAGCGGATGTCAGAGTATTAGTAAAACCTAGGGTCTGTTCCTTCTGCCATGTCACTTTGTAAACCTTTACCAAAGGCAATCTCTTGCAGAATACAATATACAATAGGAGCCCGAAAGTACAACACAGGAAGATGTCTTGGCTGGCTAAAGACGCAAGTTCAAAATGTAATGAAATGCTTTATTATTTGTTTTGTAGGTCAGAAAACTTGCTTATCAAAAGTTATCACTATAACCTGATTAAATGTCAAACGCCTACATAAGCATACACACATACTGACATGAACACCTATTGCTTATTACGATGCAACTGTATAATGTGGACTCAATTCTAGCTTTTTTCCCCCCACATATTTTTATAAGCCTAACCATTAATTTACTTCATGTTGGTAAAAGAAGAGGAATCAGTTGCAGGAATTAAAAAAATAAAAAAATAAATGAACTAACCAGGCAAGAGCTAAAAAACAAGAGTGGTTTAATTCTTTATTTTAACAAAATAAAGAATTAAACCAAATCTCCAAATTTGCATAATAGGCAAGAAAACAAGACAAGATCACACCTCACTGCAGACAAGTTCCATGTTAACTGTCAGAGCAAAGATTACAGGTGCATCTCAATAAATTAGAATGTCGTGGAAAAGTTTGTACTTTCCAGAAGGCCAACAATTCATTAAAAATGTTTTTTTTTATTGGTCTTATGGAGTATTCTAATTTGTTGAGATAGTGAGTTGGTGGGTTTTTGTTAAATGTGAGCCAAAATCATCACAATTAAAAGAACCAAAGACTTAAACTACTTCAGTCTGTGTGCATTGAATTTATTTAATACACAAGTTTCACAATTTGAGTTGAATTACTGAAATAAATGAACTTTTCCACGACATTCTAATTTATTGAGATGCACCTGTATATCTGGCACAGGACAAAAAAACAAGAGGGGAATATAAAGGATGACGAACGAACTAAAACTGGAGCGAGCCCTAATGAGATGATAAGGTAACAAGAGGGGCAGGTTAACAATAGACAACAAACACAAGTGAAAAATTTAAGGGGGTCTGAATACTTTCCGTACCCACTGTATATATATATATATATATAATTTTTATTTTTTTTTTACATTTTTACTATTTACATTTGCACTTTGGTTTCATAATGGTAAAGCTATGTGACTTTAAGAGCAGGACTGTCAAATCAGAGTATGGTTGTAAATATCAGGGTAAAGTTATGAGGAATTATTGTATTTGTTCATCATACCCATACTTTAGGGAACAAAAAGTTCATCAATGAACTGACTTTAGCTGGAAAAATCTTCTTGCATTATTGACAAACTATTTTCCTGTTTAACACTGTAAAGCTGCTTTGACACAACCAGTACTGTATAAAGCACTATACAAATAAAGGTAAAAAAAAGTGGTACAGAATATTTTTTAAAAACCAAGGAAAGAACAACAACAACAACAACAATAAGAATAATACACTGAAGTTTTACTAAGAGATGCACTTGGAACAGTCAGAAAGACAATGCAGTCATTCTCTATGTTCCTCTGTTTACTTCTCAGTTTTTGTTTGTTGAGGTCAGCTAATCCATGTCTTTTCTACTTATAGAAGATATCAGAGGTTTAATTAGATAGACTGGTGTAATGTTTTTAAAAGAACAGTCCCTCAAACTTTGTTTTATACATATTTGAGAGATCAAAGCTTCCAATGTAGGTGGTAAAATGCCAAATGAGCTTTCTCATCGGTGTAGGAGGACAAAAAGGGCATCAAAGAAGAAGCCTCATCAGATAGCGGAACCGGGTAACAACAACAGAGACATTTTATCAAAACTGTATTTGTGACAACACCTACCGCATGATCTCACATGTGGGCCGGTCTATAGAAACATAAAGGAACACAATGAGAGGAACTCCACACTGAAACAGGTGCATCACATGTAAACTGTTGAAATATACCTCTGCTCTCAAATCAGTCAGAGAAAGAGACAGTAAGAAGGACTTTAAAGAAGAGGCCGCTTTGAGGTACAGTATTTTAAATACAGATTTTATCCTGTTGGCGTTCCACTGTACCACCCGTGGCACTCCTGTAAAATTAGCCTAAAATGCCTAAAACATGCAGTGTACCATGCTGTACTATTTTCACTGTACACTGCATGTTTTAGGCATTTTAGGCTACACTGTACACTGCATGTTTTAGGCATTTTAGACAAATTTTACAGGAGTGCTAAGGGGTTAATTTGATGAAAGTGCATTTGTTTGCTGTAGACTGTGGAAAATGTGCTTTTATTTGTCATAGTTTTGACATACTTGACTGAATGTTAGAATTATGTCAAGTCACATTTATTTTTATAACGCTTTATACAAATATTTCAAAGCATCTTCACAGGAATAAACAGGAAAATAACTTTGTAATAATGTTGTAAAATTAATCAGTTATGAAATTAATTCAACTGCACTATAAGCAGCTCTACAGAAGACAAAACGTCATTATTCAGCTCAGTTCAGTTCAAGTTTTGTTCTCATCCGTTAGTGTCGGTGCAATTAAATCTATTATATTACTGGAAAATTGTTTAATGCTTAAATACTGTTGGATATAAATTGTGCATGTAAACAAACGTTTTATTTTCCATTCTATATTGTTATTTTAATGATGCGTTCAGACTTTTAAATGTGCAGAAATACACCTGCAGTACTGTGTAGGTTTGGCAGTGTGTACAGCAAGCTGCTGAAACAAGACACACATTTTTAACAGGACACAAACGCCTTTCATTTTTCGAAAGATGACTGTGGTATCATTATCTTATCTGCTATTTATACAGAAACAGCCATGATGCAGAAATATTTGCATAACTTCCTTATTACACATGCATTTAGGCAATATTCTAGTATACTTTTGAAAATAGTACTTATTACAGAAATACGTTAATAGTGCAAGCTAATTGTAATGTTTTCGGACACTTTGCACATTGCACATTACTTGCCACTGAATGAAAATGTATTATACTTTATATAAAAATTCAATTAGCAAACGCCTTTCATTTTTCGAAAGATGACTGTGGTATCATTATCTTATCTGCTATTTATACAGAAACAGCCATGATGCAGAAATATTTGCATAACTTCCTTATTACACATACATTTAGGCAATATTCTAGTATACTTTTGAAAATAGTACTTATTACAGAAATACGTTAATAGTGCAAGCTAATTGTAATGTTTTCGGACACTTTGCACGTTACTTGCCATTGAATGAAAATGTATTATACTTTATATAAAAATTCAATTAGCTGAACTTTAGAGTGATTTGTTTAAACCAACTGAAATAGGACTGTACACGCTAATATATAATTTTATAATTACTTCTGTTGTCTTTGAAATATGGTTAAAATGGTAACTAAATTGAATTTCTATTCAGATTGTATGAAATTGAATTGTATTGTATTAGTCAACAACACTTCAAAAGAAGTGAAATCTTAAAATCAAGACAAAAGATGATTAAAACACACAACTAAATCACTGATATTATACATGCCTCACTTCTTTCTGGTATTGTTCCACCTGTATTAAAAACTGCTGTAATAACACCTATTCTCAAGAAACCAGGGGCAGATTCAAATAATCTTGAGAATTTTCGTCCTTTTTCTAATTTACTGTTTTTATCAAACATTCTTGAAAGGATTGTTGCATCTCAGCTCCGGGATCATCTTTCCTTTAATAGTTTATATGAGCAGTTTCAATCAATGTTTCGTCAGTATCATAGTGTCAAAACTGCACTTGTGAAGATTTCTAATAATTTATTAGTAGCTGCAGACTAAGGTCTTTTATCAATACTCATTCTTTTAGACTTAAGTGCAGCATTCGATACCATCTCACACCCCATACTGTTAAGTAGATTGAAGTCCATTGGAATTACAGGTACAGCTTTGTGTTGGTTTCGTTCCTATCTTACGGACTGTACACAATTTGTACAATTCTACACCTGTTATCACTGGTGTTCCGCAGGGCTCTGTTCTGGGACCTCTTTTGTTTATCATTTATCTTTTACCAATTGGTTTTATTTTTAGGAAATATGGGGTTCAATTCCATTGTTACGCTGATGACACCCAACTTTATCTGTCTTCTAAACCTACCACTGTTTTTCCTGTCTTCTCTTGTTCAGTGTTTAGATGAAATAAAAACCTGGTTTTCATGTAATTTTCTCAAACTTATCAGTAATAAAACAGAAATACTTCGTCGGATCAAAAAATACTCTGGCCAAATCAAGTTGTCTATCAATGACAATTGACAATTCTCTAGTTTCTATATCTAAACAGGTTAAAAGTCTGGGTGTCATCTTGGACAGCACTGGAAGCTAATATTAATAATGTTACACGTTCTGCATTTTTCCATGTACAAAATATTAGTCATCTCCATCCTGTGCTCTCAACAAAGAGTACTGCTATTCTTGTACACGCTTTAGTAACATCACAAACTGACTACTCTAATTCCTTGTTTTATGGACTCCAGTCTAAATCTATACACAAACTTTAGTTAGTGCATAATGTGTCTGTACAAGTTATTTCCAAAACTCCTATATCTGAGCAAATCTCTCTCCCTGTATCGTGTAAATTTTAAGGTCTTGCTTTTAACTTACTTACAAGTCACTTAATAATTTAGCTCCTTCATATTTATCCGATCTCCTTTGTATAAATACTCCTACACGTATCTTACGATCTGCTTCTGCCTCTGCCTGTGCAGTCGTGGCCAAATCTACAGTATCAACGTGTACAGCAGCACGCTCCTACTAGCCTGCATCAGCGGCGACCGCTACATTGCAATCGTGCAAGCCAGACGATCGGTTCGAATTCGATCGCAAGCTCAGGTGTACAGCCGTCTCATCTGCTCGGTCATATGGATGCTTGCTTTTATCTTGTCTCTGCCTACTTTTATATATTACCAGGAGGTAAACAAGGAATGCATCACTAACTTTGAGGAGCATAACACCGCCAGACTCATGAAGATCCTTATTCCAAGCATGCAGATGGTCCTCGGGTTCTTGGTGCCATTGATGGTCATGATATTCTGCTACTCGTGCACCATGGTGACTCTACTCAAAGCTCAAAACTTCCAGAAGCACAAGGCGATCCGCGTGGTTCTGGCTGTGGTCTTCGTGTTCGTCCTTTGCCATCTGCCTTACAACGTGGCGCTTCTTGTCTACACCAGTAAACTGTTCAATGAGAGAAACTGCAAGGAAGAACAGGTGACTCTGATGACTTTGTCCATCAGCAGGAGTGTGGCCTACCTTCACTGTTGCTTGAATCCCATTCTGTACGCCTTCATCGGGGTTAAATTCAGGAGCCACTTTTGTCAGTTCTTCCGAGACTTGCGGTGCCTGGGGAAACGGTACATTTCGGGACGCTCGTCTCAGCAGACCTCTGAGCTGTACATATCAAGGTGTACAGCCGTCTCATCTGCTCGGTCATATGGTTGCTCGCTTTTATCTTGTCTCTGCCTACGCTTATATATTACCAGGAGGAAAACAAGGAATGCATCCTTAACTTTGAAGAGCACAACCTTGCCAGAATCATGAAAATCCTGATTCCGAGCATGCAGATGGTCCTCGGGTTCTTAGTGCCGTTGATGGTCATGATATTCTGCTACTCGTGCACCATGGTGACTCTACTCAAAGCTCAAAACTTTCAGAAGCACAAGGCGATCCGCGTGGTCCTGGCTGTGGTCTTCGTGTTCGTCCTTTGCCATCTGCCTTACAACGTGGCGCTTCTTGTCTACACCAGTAAACTGTTCAATGAGAGAAACTGCAAGGAAGAACAGGTGACTCTGATGACTTTGTCCATCAGCAGGAGTGTGGCCTACCTTCACTGTTGCTTGAATCCCATTCTGTACGCCTTCATCGGGGTTAAATTCAGGAGCCACTTTTGTCAGTTCTTCCGAGACTTGCGGTGCCTGGGGAAACGGTACATTTCGGGACGCTCCTCTCAGCAGACCTCGGAGCTGTACATATCAGCAAACAAAACCGTTGTTGGGACTTGTAACCTGAAGGTTGCGGGTTCGAGTCTCAGATCTGGCAGGAATTGTCGGTGGGGTGAATAACCATCACTCTCTTCCACCCTCAATACCATGACTGAGGTGAGACCCTTGAGCAAGGCACCGAACCCCCAACTGCTTCCCGGGCGCTGCAGCTTTGGCTGCCCACTGCTCTGGGTATGTGTTCACAGTGTGTGTGCACTTGGATGGGTTAAATGCAGAGCACAAATTCCTGCATTTAACCCCAGAGTATGGGTCGCCACACTTCACTTCACTCTTGTACTTCCTCGCATTCGGACAACTTCTATGGGGTCACGAGCTTTTGGTTATGCTGCTCCGTATTTATGGAATTCTCTACTGATGGATATTCATAATAGTCAAAGTATTGTGGTTTTTAAATCTAGACTTAAAACTTATCTATTTAGGCAGGCTTTTATGTAATGTTTAGTTGCAGGTAGGCCTTTTGTTTGATGAGTGGTTCTTTATTGATGTACGGTGTCTTTGAGTGTTGTGAAAGGCGCCTATGTTTTTATAATAATAAAAACAGTGAATTAAAACATAATTTAAAGTAAGACTTTTAATTTGACATTATTACAAAGTGCATTTTTTTTTAAAGATACAAGGTTGTGAAAGTGGACTCTCTTTAAGTACACTTAGTGGCCTTTTATATAATTAATATTAGATTATTTGCAAGTACAGTTTTTTTCAAGTACACTTCTTTTCACAAGGGATGAGCTTCTGTTTGATGTGCACATTTTTCTTCACTCAAAAACAGTGGAAGTATGTGGTTGTTCTGATGCAAAATCGCTCTCTTGTTAGATCTTCAGATTTTAATTCTATCCATCTCTCTCTTTTCTCTCAAGGTCAGCCATACAGTTATGAATGATTACACAGATAACTTATCTTATTTTTATTATGATGATGATGATGTGGAACCTTGTAACCTGACGTGGTTCAACGAACAGCAAGTGACCATCCCAACATTCATCTACTCTCTGATTTGCGCACTCGGCCTGGTGGGCAACGTTTTGGTCCTCCTAACGTACGCCTTCTACAAGAAAGCAAAAACCATGACCGATATCTACCTGGTTAACGTGGCGCTGGCAGATCTCCTCTTCGTCATCGCCCTTCCACTGATCATCTACAACGAACAGCACGATTGGAGCATGGGCCAGTGGGCTTGTAAGTTTCTGAGAGCAGCCTACAGTATCAACGTGTACAGCAGCACGCTCCTACTAGCCTGCATCAGCGGCGACCGCTACATTGCAATCGTGCAAGCCAGACGATCGGTTCGAATTCGATCGCAAGCTCAGGTGTACAGCCGTCTCATCTGCTCGGTCATATGGATGCTTGCTTTTATCTTGTCTCTGCCTACTTTTATATATTACCAGGAGGTAAACAAGGAATGCATCACTAACTTTGAGGAGCATAACACCGCCAGACTCATGAAGATCCTTATTCCAAGCATGCAGATGGTCCTCGGGTTCTTGGTGCCATTGATGGTCATGATATTCTGCTACTCGTGCACCATGGTGACTCTACTCAAAGCTCAAAACTTCCAGAAGCACAAGGCGATCCGCGTGGTTCTGGCTGTGGTCTTCGTGTTCGTCCTTTGCCATCTGCCTTACAACGTGGCGCTTCTTGTCTACACCAGTAAACTGTTCAATGAGAGAAACTGCAAGGAAGAACAGGTGACTCTGATGACTTTGTCCATCAGCAGGAGTGTGGCCTACCTTCACTGTTGCTTGAATCCCATTCTGTACGCCTTCATCGGGGTTAAATTCAGGAGCCACTTTTGTCAGTTCTTCCGAGACTTGCGGTGCCTGGGGAAACGGTACATTTCGGGACGCTCGTCTCAGCAGACCTCTGAGCTGTACATATCAGCAAACAAAACCGTTGTTGGACAGCACCAAGAGAACCCATCATCATTTACAATGTGATAGAACTTTTGAGTGATTGTTCTCAAGGAAGCAGTGATCTGTGGATTGTTTGTTTGGTTCTTGGTTTGTGTTTCAGTTTCATGGATTACCAAAATGAAACAAACTTTTGGGAAACTTTTTGGCTTCAGAATAAGGTTCCATTAATGCATTAACTGACATTAACTAACAATGAACGATACATTTATAACAGTATTTATGAATTACATGTCATCTCAGGTCGAAATAATATTAATACATTCAAATTTTTATTAATGCGTTAGTTGGCCAAATGTTGAAAAAAAATAAGTATTTTCATTGTTAGTTCATGTTAACTAATGTAGTTAGCTAATGTTAATAAATTGAACTTTATTGTAGTGTTATCACTTCTTTTGAAAGTATATGGTAAATACTTTTGTTTTCTAAATATTGTCCTATTCAAAGTAACTTTACTGTGGGCCGACTACTACAACCCATACTTGATTTGCAAGGCAAATGCATATCGGGTAAATGCATATCAGCCTTGTCAACAATGTGGTATTAAACCATATGAGTGTTAAGGTAAAAATGCATTTATCTTGTAAAAGGCTCAGTATAATGCATTATATAAATATTAAAAACCAACTTTAATAAGAAAACCAAAGCATTTAAACATTAACCATGTAAAGCCTACTTCAATGCCTCTAAATGATCAACATGATCAAAACATTGCTGAAAAACCTGTTGAAAATAATCTACTACACGCCTTCTGTCGCCTGATTGATAGTTTAGACATTTTTAGCAAGTCTATTGTGTTGCATTCTATTATTCAAACATCCACCTTCAGTTTGTGCTTCACAATTTTTTTTGCTGTTTTATCAAGTGAATGTAAGAATACATTTTTTATGTTAGTAATATTTCAAGATGCACACTTACAACTTTGGTTTACTTGATTATCTTTTTTTTATTTATTTTTTTAATTAAAATCATGTTCAAATGTGAGTCTCAAATGTGATCATCAGGCTTTTGAGAAATGTTTATTTGTCATATTATTAGAGATATAGAGTGATGACTGATATTTATATCATTTTATGTAAGTATCTGCTGTACTGTTATTAAAAATAAATAAATAAATAAAGGCTGCCCACTGCTTTGAGTGTGTGCTCACGGTGCGTGTGTGTGTTCACATTAAGGGGGTCTGAATACTTTCCGTACCCACTGTATGTGTGTGTGTGTGTGTGTGTGTGTAACTTAACCGTTAACTATAATAAACTGTTTCAATAAAGGTCCAGTAAACTTTTGAAAATTTCAAAACTATACAGAATATATATATATTCTGACTATTACCTCATATGTCAGGCTTTACAGGGTTAACATAAAACCTTTTAATATTAAGAAACATTTAAATATGATTGCCTGATTTGTTGAGTGAACAATAAAGCTCCACTGTGCAACTGTGACAGATCTGGTGGACAGACAGTTTTATGAAGTGATGAAACTGTAATAGTGCTGTATTATGTAGCATCGTCGTGCTAGATTTGACTTCTGGAGTGTTAGACAGGGACTTTTGGCCCTGTGGTTGGAAAGGAGGCCCTCTATCTAAGTATATCTTTGCAAACTGTGGACAATGACACACTTCTGTGAATGTACATACACAGGTTACTGAAAGTAGTGGGATGATTATCAAAATCTAACGAAATGGGTCAGAGAGCAATACACTTCCAGACATTGGTTAAACAGAACTGAAACACTTTATAAATAAAACCTTTTTATTAAAACCTTTGACCTAGAGTAACATCATATCCACAAAAGTAGGAAACATTACAGGAGGGACTGGTCACCCTACTGGTGAAAGAGGCTTTTTAACCACTGCAGCAGAACATAGCTTGTCTTATCAGGAGTTTTATCTATTTAAATGAAGCTTATCGTAGTTCCTCGTACTACATCTGTGAACAACACATTGAGTTTGCATACAGATGCAATATGGCGTCATAAAATGCCCAAATTTACATTACAAATTCTCCAAACAGTTTTATACACAGTAAGTTTCTAGGTCATTTAAAAAAAAATTTTAAATTTTATTTATTATGGTGATGCAAAGCTGAATTTTCAGCACATGATCTTTTCGAAATCATTCTAATATGCTGATCTGCTGCTCAAGAAACATTGCTTCATATTTTTGTGGAAACCATAATACAGTATTTTCAAGATTATTTGATGAATAGAAAGTTCAAAATGTTATATATATATATATATATGAAATTTTTTTTTAATAAATAAATAAATAAAGGCTGCCCACTGCTTTGAGTGTGTGCTCACGGTGCGTGTGTGTGTTCACAACTGTGTGTGTGCACTTGGATGGGTGAAATGCAGAGCACAAATTCTGAGTATGGGTCACCATACTTGGCTACACGTCAGGTCACTTTACTTTAAATATCTTAATATAATTAATATCTTTATTTTTCTGCATATAATTTTGCTCAGTTTGGGCCTTTGAATAAAATGTGGGTATTTTTTTCCCCTCCTTGAGTAAGTGCCACATTCTCACTATTTCATACTATAAATGTCTGATGTATTAAATGTGATACTCAACAAAAACTTACATGAATACATATATATTCCATAAAATAGTTATACAGTTAAATAGTTATATATAGTTATAAAGGCAGAAATTAAATACTTTTCACATACAACATCATGACTTGACCTTGAGTAACATTATAGCCACAAAACCAGGAAACATTACAGGAGGAAAACCCTACTGGTGAAAGAGGCTTTTTAACCACTGCAGCAAAACACAGGTATATATACAGTGGGTACGGAAAGTATTCAGACCCCCTTAAATTTTTCACTCTTTGTTATATTGCAGCCATTTGCTAAAATCATTTAAGTTAATTTTTTTTCCTCAGTGATGCAAAGCTGAATTTTCAGCACATGATCTTTTCGAAATCATTCTAATATGCTGATCTGCTGCTCAAGAAACATTGCTTCATATTTTTGTGGAAACCATAATACAGTATTTTCAAGATTATTTGATGAATAGAAAGTTCAAAATGTTATATATATATATATATATGAAATTTTTTTTTTTTTTTGAAGAATTTTTTTGTATCAATTTAAAAGTCTTTGGTGTCACTTTTGATCAATTTAACACATCTTCAATGAGAAAAAAAAACATTACTACCCTAAAGTTTTGAAACAGTAGTGTTTTCCTTCTGAGGGAACTCAAACTGCGTCCTCAGCGGTTGCTATGGGGAACGCCTTCGGCACGACTGGTGTCTGAAGCACATTTTTAAATAGGACAATATCATTGGCCGGCGACAGCCTGTGACATCACTACCGGCTCGACCACAGTATAAAAGGGCGCCGGGAGAATACGTCATCCTCTTCATCGTCTTCAAGGACTGTTTTGTTTGAAGCATGTGCATTCCGGTAAGAACGCTGTTCTTTTTCCACCATGGCCGTGGAAGCGTGTCAGGAAGGAAACCACTCGAGGCTGTCTGGATGAGCACTTCCTTTCTGGCCATAACCCTCCAGCTCAAGTTAGCCTCCCATTCCTTCCCGATCTCCATGTTGAGATGGACAAGGCTTGGAAAAATCTGTTCTCCTCATGAATCCACAGATTCCAACATTCCAGTTATGCCAACATCAAGGAGATGCGTGAACACGGATATGAGAAGATGCCCCCTGTTGAAGAGACGCTAGCCCGCTATCTCTCTAGGGGAGAGACATCTTCTCTTAAGGCTCTCATTTTGCCATCCAAACCCCTACGTGATACATCTCATTTGAATGGCAAGGCATACACGGCAGCAGGTCAGGCTGTAGCTGCATTGCATACTATGGCGTTGCTTCAAGCCTACCGGGCTGACCTGCTGAAAGACCTGGATAAGGGTCGGGGTCTTTCCCCTGACGAGGTAGCTGAGCTGTGTTACACCACAGACCTCGCACTCTGTGCCACAAAGCAGACCGCCACTGCCATCAGCAGGTCCATGGTGGGCATGGTGGCAATGGAGAAGCATCTGTGGGTGAATCTGTCCGACATCAGGATGAAAGAGAAGGGCTTTCTCCTGGATGTGCCAGTATCACCTTCTGAACTTTTCGGCACTCCTGTTGAGATGGTGGACAAGAAGTTTAAGGATGCGAAGATGCGCTTGGTTGCCTTTAAGTCCTTCATTACTTGAAGGCCCAAGTCTGAGCCCAAATATCAAGGGGGGTCCTGGCCCATCCCGGTCCAAGGACCAGTGACGGGCTCAGAAGACTAGTGTTGCCAATCGGAGGTGTGAGTCAAACAATAAGACATGAGGAAGGTAATCCAGAGGAGGCGTTCTCAGCGCTCTAGTCTGGACCAGAGTAAGAAGGAACATCTCAGGGAACGAGACACTGCGTCCTCTTTTCTTGCCATGCCTCGGAGGCGAGGTTCAGATGAAGAAGTGGATGACGTGTTCTCCCAAACTAATAATTGCTGTTGATAGTGTTCATCGTCTGTTTGATTACGTCTTTAATTGATTTTTCCGTACATTTCTGCCATTTCACATGTACATTGACTGACAGTCACCACTGATGAGCTACCACTAAATATTGTAGAAACGTAATTTGCTGTAAAGTTGCTTTGCAATGATTTGTATCGTGAAAAGCGCTGTACAAATAAACTTGAATTGAATTGAATTTTTATACTGTGGTCAAGTCAAGTCACCTTTATTTGTATAGCGCTTTATACAATACTGGTTGTGTCAAAGAAGCTTTACAGTGTCAAACAGGAAAATAGTTTGTTAATAATGCAAGAAGACAATAACAAAGAGTCATTTTTCCAGCTGAAGTCAGTTCATTGATGGTGTCGGCAGTAGTGTCGTCACAGGCTGTCTCCATAGCGGCCGCTAGAGGACACAGTGTCTCGTTCCCTTCTCAGGGAACCTTGGTTACATGCGTAACCTGAGACGATTTTAAAGGGGTCATGAACTGAAAAATCTAATTTCCCTTGATCTTTTGACATATAACAGGTCAATGTACTATAAAAACATCCTGTAAGTTTCAGAACTTTCTCGTTA